TGTAACCACTTGAGGCATCTTTTTTTAAAGAAAAAAAACCACTTGAGGGGCTTATGTTTGCAATCATGTCTCGTTTGGCTGTGGATTAATGAAAATTTTTAATTTTTTGAGTGCTGCTAAAGTAGTTTCACATATGGTTTCATTATCTATAAGGATGATATTGTTATGTGATGATTCATATATGCTGATTCAAGTTTGAGTAAGCTAATAACATATTATACCGATAGATGTGAATAACTTTAGTTCATTTTATATATTCTAGATTATTTAAAAAAAAATTATATATTCTAGATAATAAAAGGAAAAAAAGTATGAAAAGTGGCCTTGTTGGTAGGGTGTATTGGGTTGAGGAAATTGTTTTCCTTTACGGGGTCGGTTGAGCGTATGCATTTACCTCTGACTCTTGTGATTAGAATCAGGGATGGAAAATTCCACCCTGTTGCCATCTGCACCCTGAAACCTTGTAAACAGAGTATTGCTATTTTTTCATATTTACATAGAAGAGGATTTTAATTCTTCAGTTGTGGACTGCTTTTATCATAATCATCCTTATAGGGATAGAGGACTTAGAATTCATGCTTGCAAGTATTATCAATTTGTGCCAATCCGCAGTTCATACAATTTGGTCTAAGCATCAATTATGAAAGAATGAAGTTTAAAAGAAGTTTATACCAATTTAATAAAGATGGTACACAAATTTTTTCTAGATATTCTTCTGTCAAATTTGTAATTTTAAACAATGTTTTCTATTTCTGTTGAAAACTTTGTTACTGGTGCTTAGATAACTTCATTACAGTTTCTTGGTGGCTCTCTGGAACCAAAAAAAAAAAAAAAAAAATGAATGCATATAAGTAAATGAGAATTTTCCTTTGCTTGAAAAATTCTATTGCAATTTCTTAATTTTTGCGAAGTAAGAGATCTTTTATGCATATCCTCTCTATGTACATGTGGCATGTAATGCATTTACCTGGGAATCTGGAAGTTGGGATTGGTGAGAGAGTCATTTGCATGGGTCTCTTATTTTCTCAAATCAGGACGGGAAAGTAGTCAAAATTTTTTGATTGGTTGAGTCATTTCCTTTTTCAGGACTAGTTCTGGTATGGGAGATTCAAATGCAATGACCATTGAATTCCTCCGAGCACGTTTACTGTCTGAAAGATCCATATCAAGAAGCGCAAGACAGAGAGCTGATGAACTGGCGAAAAGGGTGTGTCTTTTTTTCTAAAAAAAAATTTACTTATGGATTCTATCTGGGGTTTTCTCAGCTTGATACCACTTGATGAACTCTCCTCTTTTTCTTTAAAGAGAGAAGTTAGCGTGTCTATGTCTATATTTCTACAGTATTTCAATCCTTTGATTTTTGTGGATTAGGTCGATGAACTAGAGGAACAGCTCAGGATAGTATCTCTTCAAAGAAAGAAAGCTGAGAAGGCAACAGCTGATGTTCTTGCTATTCTGAAGAACAATGGGATCACTGACATTTCTGAAGCATTTGATTCAAGCTCTGAGGAAAATGATTGTGAATCCAAAGTGGGTAATAAATCCACTGAAGTGGAAGGGAGCTATATCAATTCAAAAGTGGGAAGAAATGACTCTGAAGAATGTTCAGGTTCTGATCATGACTCTTCTCCATTACCTGGTCGAAGCCTGTCCTGGAAGGGCTGCAAGAATGCTCCAAATTCTTCCAATAAATACAAGGGTTCTCTTATGAGAAGACGGAGCAGTTATGCATCTGCTGGTTCTTCTTCCTCGAAACAACGTCAAGGAAAATCTTGCCGCCGGATAAGACATAGAGAATCAAGGTCTCTCTCTCTCTCTCTATATATATATATAATATGTATTTATATATATTTTTTGTAGAAAATATAAGAAAATAAATTTGTTTCTTTTCTGTTTTGCCTAGTGAAGAGAATCTCAGAATGGTTATAACAATTTCTGCAATTCCTTCTCCCTATAAATTTGTTAGGAAGTTGTTATTTTGTTGCTTTATTTTGTATAAATTGTAACACCACCAAGAATGAAATTAAGACAAGTAGAAGAAGATTTTCTATTCTTCAAACCTTCATGGTATCAGAGCAACTCTGATCCAGGAGAATCATCCCGATTGAGCCGCAGTCAAAAATTGCTTTGGGAGAACTACCGTCTTCTCCAACCGAAATTTCATCGGGCCCTTACCATCTTTTTTCTACCAACCATGGCTTGGTTGAACCATCCTCATCACTCCTCATTGGGCATAAGCTGAATGGTAACAATTACCTTTAGTGGTTGTCGTCGATATTACTTTTCATCCTAGGCAAAGGTCGCGAAGAGTATTTCACTGGTGAACTCTTACCTCCACCGGCGAATGAATTGAATGCTCGAATATGAAAGATTGACAATAATATAGTAATGTCGTGACTTGTAAATTCGATGATGCCCGACATCGCAGAAAATTTCTTTATCTACGAGACTGCGCAAAAAATTTGGGAGACAGCTCGAGAACTCTACTCCAGCAAGGAAAATACATAAGCTATCTTCGAAATCGAGTCCACACTTCATAAACTGAGATAAAGTGAGCTAAATGTAACTCATTATTATAACCTTCTATCTCGTAGCTGGCAGCAACTGGACACCTTCGAAGAAAGGAGATGGAACTGTCCCGAGGACGTCAGAAATTTTCGGTCATTTATGGAGGAGAAATGTATTTTCAAATTTCTGCTGGGTTTGAACAGCAATCTTGATGAAGTCCGAGGGTGGGTGCTTAGCATTAAACCATTACTTAGCATCCGCGAAGTCTTCTCTGAGATTCGACGAGAAGAAAGCTGAAGAAGAGTGATGATGGGTGAAGCGTAACTCACTCAATCTGTCGAAAATGCTTCTGCACTCTCGACGAGAACTTAGGACTCGAGGGGGAAGAAAGGTTGGCCTTGGTGCGACCACTGCAAAAAGCCTGGCCATGTTCGTGACAAATGCTGGAAACTCCATGGAAAACCAATCGACTGAAAGTCGCCTAAACTAGAAACTGACCACCATGGCAGTCACGCGTCCACTTGAGAAGCCTCTCTGAGTTCTGTGGAGAGTAATCCCTTTAGCTCCGAGCAGCTGGAAGCACTTCAGAAAATTTTGACCCAGAAAAATTATCAGCCTCCCATCAACGCATCAGTGGCACACAAAGGTAAAATTCATAGTTTATCTGTGTGTTCAGCAAAGCAGGTTTTGGTGGTTGATTTTGGAGTGTCAAATCATATGACTGGAGATGTGTCACTGCTCCAAAATTTCAGCAAATATGAAGAAAATATTTTGATTAAAATTGCTGATGGGTCTGTCTCTAAAGTGGCTGGATGTGACTATGTAATTTTATCTCCAAATTTGATATTTCATTCAGTCTTTTATGTACCAAAATTAGACTGTAATTTATTATCAGTGAGCAAGCTTTGTAGAGAGCAGAAATGTGTTACTAAATTTGTCTTTAATTTGTGTTAATTTCAGGATTCGGATTCGGGGAGGATGATTGACAATGACTATACCTTCTTCAAGTAGACACTTCTAGGGGACAAACTCAAAATGCAGTATGTGCAACTTTTGTTTCTATAAATCATTCAGATAATAACCAAAATATCATGTTAGGGCATTATCGATTAGGACACCCAAATTTCGTTTATCTAAAAAAGTTGTTTCCTTCACTGTTTAAGAATAAAGATCCTGTTTCATTTCAATATGAAGTATTTCAATTATCAAAACACATTCGCAATTCTTTTCTTAGTTTACCATATAAATCTTCTGAACCATTCATATTAATTCATAGCGATGTATGGGGACCTTCCTGGATCACTAACATTACCGGAAATATGTGGTTTATATCCTTTATTGATGATTATATAAGAATTGCCTGGATATTCCTTATGAGAGAAAAATCTGAGGTTGGACCTATTTTCAAAAAATTCAATATCATGATCCAAACACAATTTCATACCAATGTTCAAGTTTTAAAATCTAATAAGGCATGTGAATATTTTGAAATCTCTCTTGGGAAATATTTTATCGATCATGTATTATTCACCAAAGCTCGTGTGCCCATACACCACAACAAAATGGTATAGCTGAAAGGAAAAACCGACACATCCTAAAGGTTGCCCGCTCAATCATATTTATTGCTCACGTCCCAAAATTACTTTGGGAAGAGACTATACTCACTGCCACCTACTTGATAAATCGGATGCCTTCCCATATTCTCAATTTCCAGTCACCATATAAATTATTCTCACAAATCTTTTCTAAATCTCATATCCTAAATAGCTACTTAAAGTTTTTGGATGTTCTGCATATGTTCATATTCACCCATATCTTCGAGGGAAACTTGATCCACGGGCTGTAAAATGCATCTTTATCGGTTACTTTGCTCATCAGAAGGGATATAAGTGTCTAGTTTCAGGTATACGACGATTCTATAACACCATGGATGTTATATTTTTTGAAAACTAACCATTTTATTCCACAACTGATATTCAGGGGGAGAATTTTACTCAGGAATATCAGTTGTGGAATGTTAGCATACCTCCTCTTTATTCACCTCTTCTCTATTAAAGTATACATGGATATCCTACCAGGATTTGAACTAACTAATGATTCTCAAAAAGTGTACAAGCTCAAAAAGTCACTATATGGTCTGAAGCAATCTCCAAGAGTTTGGTTTGTCAGGTTCACAAAAGTAGTAAAACAAGAAGGGAATGGGCAATGCCAATCAGATCATACACTTTTTGTTAAACACTGCATTTCAGGTAAAAAAGCTATCTTGATTGTCCATGTAGATGACATTTTTTTGATAGGAGATCACATTGAGGAAATTCAGAGACTTAAGAATTCTTAACTAAAAAGTTTGAAATTAAAGATTTTGGAATGATGAAATACTAGGTTTATTTAACATCTATGTAAACTAGATTGAGAAGGAGTGTAGAAAATATAAAAAAATAAATTTGTTTCTTTTTTGTTTTGCCTAGTGGAGAGAATCTCATTATGGTTATAACCATTTCTACAATTCCTTCTCCCCATAAATTTGTTAGGACGTTGTTATTTTGTTGCTTTATTTTATATAAATTGTAGCACCACCAAGAATGAAATTAAGACAAGTAGAAGAAGCTTTTCTATTCTTCAAACCTTCATATATAATATGTATTTACATATATATATATATATCTCCTATGTGAATTTGTGTTTCCCTTGCTGTATTTGGCAATTCATTCAAGATAATCATTATTCAGAAAAGAGAAGAACATTATGAATGATGTAGATCATGGGCAATTTGCTATTTTAACGCAATTTGCTATTTTAAGGAAAGTTAATGTGTATAACAAATTTGATCCAAATTTGACACACTACCTTGGAGATCCTTTTTGCATCAAAATTAAATTGCTCATAATGATGTAGTTTGGCACCCTTTGGCTAGTGAAATAGAATTAAAATGGATATAGATATTTAAATTTATATCCTTGAAATGAATCCAAGTCTTCTCTTTTTACGAGAATTTTCTGTCTAAGATAATGTCACTGCTTGATGTGCAATATCATGCTTTAGTCATAGCTACTGATTTAGATTCTTCTGCACTCAAGTACATGGGATCTTTATATGTACTTTGCTTATTTTCCAGATCAGTGGTTGAAGACGTTACAACAGATTCAATCAAGGTTAATGATCAAGGAAATAAAGTTGCAATCTCTTCTGAAGTCTTTCTTGGAACCATAGACCAGCAACGTAATATCTTGAAAGCAGGTTCTGAAAGACATGAATGGAAAAATTTACTGGAGGGTCCAAATTCAAGTGGTTTAGGAAATGGTGGAAAGACATCCAAGAATGAGCTCGATTTTCACAGCTATGCAGCAGAAAAAGATATGGAAAGGGCAGTGGAGTATCAGGAACAGCTCATTGAACGTTATGAAGCAATGGAAAGGGTTCAACAAGAATGGGAAGAGAAGTTCAGGGAAAACAACGACAGCACTCCGGTATGCTTTATTGAAACCTGGATAAAATTTTAAGTTTTTTAAATATTCTAAATATCAATTTCACAATGTAGTGCGTCAATGGAAAATAACAAGCAAACTAGTGCAGAAAGAAGAATTGCATAGTTCTGTCAGTCTAATTCACTCCATAGAAGAGATAGATCCAGATTCACCATAGAAAAAATTTAAAGATATAGTGTATTTCTCACACTCATCCTAGTATTAATACGTTCAATTCTCTATGGAAAGGCCCTATTTACTTGTCTTTTAATAAAACTGAAATCGAGATACAATTTAACAGATAGCATACTGTGTGTGTGCTGGAAATGGTTGCTTTATAGGCCATAAACCGTGGGATAAAATGTAGAATAGGTTTGCATAGTGTTTCGAACTAGCTTTCCTTGCTGACCCAGGTAATTAACATAAACTAGCTTTCCTTGTGTAGTGTTTCAAACTAGCTTTCCTTGCTTTCCTTGCTGATCCAAAATCACCTTCCTGGGCATTCATTGACTGGCTTGTAAATTCTGTATATGGGCTGTATCCCGTTGGTACTTATTTCAATATATTTTTCGCACTTTATATTAAAAAAAAAATAAAACAAAATTTATAGGGTGGCTGGTGCATTACCTTACCCCTTTTTAAGGGCAATTGAACATCATCAATCATGGTTTCCTTGGACTGTGTGTTACTTGATTAAGTATGAGAACTCTCTTCTAGAGCGGACTCTTGCTTTGCTCAGGTAATGAATGTTGCTCTATTTTAGTTTTCTTCTTCCTTGAGTATATAACGAATTCTCCGTTCTTGGCCGGCAGTGTGCAATCAGGTTCTTGCAAGCTTCAAGGGTATGCTTGGGTTCATAATGGGTGTTAAACATATTATCTTGCAAAGTGTTGGAGGTAGGTTGTGACTCCATAGTTCCGTTGTTTTTCCTTGTTTGATCCCAAAGTTTGTTGGTTTACCCTATTTGATCCCAAACCTGAGATTCTTGTTGTTCTCTCTCCCCTTGAATGCCAGATTTGGGGTATAATGGTTCAGATTCAAAGAATGTTACATCAATAGAGGTATAGAACCATTTGTTACTTGGGAAATAGTACTTATACCCTTTTTGGTTTGGAGTGTACCCCAGAAAGATACATTTTATTAATTTAGGCTCAAGTTTACTCCTGTATTGTGAGTGAATATGAACAAATGCTGTGCACCCAAATACTTCTAGTGGTATAGATGAAATGGTTTGGGTTTGAGAGAACATCATGAGTAGCTTTTGGCTTGGTGTTAGAAAGTTTAGTACTCTTGAGGGCATTATCTTGATAAGGTAAGTGACAGTTAATATGACTTCCACCCAGAAATGGCTTGGAACATGGGTTGAGAATGACTGATTTGACAACCTTTAGGATGTGATGGTTATTTCTTTCTGCAATCCCATTTTGATAGGTTGTGTCAATGCATGAATTTTGGTGTACAAGTTCTTCGTTTTCTCGATATCTTACGAGAGTGTGTATAAGGTATTCCTTGACATTATCAGTTCTAAGTATCTAGATTTTTATAAGGATTTGGTTTTAGATCATGAAGTTGAACTTTTGAAATATCTACCCAGCTTTAGATTTTTCTTTCATAAGGTATACCTATGTAATTCTAGTGTGGTGATCAATAAGCAGAACAACCATCTTGCTCCTGTTATATCTTTTACCCTAGTAGGTCCTGATACATTTCTACCAACCATTGAGGATGGGCTTGATTCTCTATAAGGTTGAGCCTAATATGAATTAGAGAATGCTTTGCAAATTGGGATATTTCACACTGGAAATTCTTAAAGCTTTTATTGATGAATAATGAGGGAACAAGTCTTTGTAGATAACTAAAGTTGGGATGTCTGAGTTTATAGTGCCACAGCATAATTGCACTTTTGTCCTTAGTGTAAGAAATAAACGTTGGATGATTGTTCCTGGATATAGTTGCTCTTGAGGATATGGAGTCCATGACACACCTTAGCATTGCCAATTGTCCTTCCCGAACTTAGTTCTTGAAATGCAATCGGGTTTGAAGAGAATTTAGCAATACATTCAGCTCTTGAGTGAGTTTATTAATAGATGATGAATTGCAATTTAATTCAA